GCCTCAACGTGTCAATTTTGCTGAAACGTGTCCACTTCTAACGCAAATCTGCATGGTGCTGACAAATAGTACCGTTTCCTCTTTACTAACCATTTTCAAATCTCATTGGAAAAAAATCTTATCAAAACTTTTGAGCAAACAAAATTTTCCAAGTTATTCTCATAATCTGAGGGTGGAATTCCGCTGGCTGAAGAACTGACTCACTGGTGAGAGTATATCGTTTCTACCCAAAGGGCTTTTGTCTTTTCCAAAATTTGTATTGAGATTTAATTGTATGTGAACTCTGGAATTTATCTTTTGGCTTGATATGCGTGGATTCAACATAAATTGACACTATTGTGATGCAGTTTGCAAAAATTCTTTCTGGGTTTTTTTGATTTTTTATGAGTTATGTAATTAAGAAGCTCTATTGAAACATGAAACGTGTATGGGCTGAGCTTGAATAGTTGAGTCCATTGAAACTTAATCACTTCCTTTAAAGGAAAAATACTTTGATTACCGATTTTACTTCAATAATGAGATTATTTTATATATAGTTTAGTGGTAGTTTAGAATGTTAATCGAGGTCGACAACCGCTGACATGTGTAGTCTACTTTTTTTTTTTTTTTTTTAATTTTTTAAACATGCGGACCCCGCAGACACGTGAGAGGTTGTCAACCTTAGTTGTACCAATAGAATTTTCCTTAACGATATTAAGCTTTCTCGGGGAAAATAGCATTGTCCACCGGATAGAAAATACTTGATTTGCACATATAATATTGGTGGATGGACAATTCTGCTTAATATTTTAACACTTAGGGCCTGCTAATGAGGTTTTTTTTTATTTCTTTTATGGATTGTTGGAAAAATCGGCGCTTGCTAGTTTTTTTGGGCATCGGTTTTGGATAGTTTACGGTGTAGTTAAATTTTGAGTGAGACTTTCAATCAAATCGGCGGTTTTTGCCGTTTCTCATATTCTCTTCTAATTTTACTTTTTATAAAATAATTATTTTAAACCAATATATTTTGTTCAAAACTAAATTGTAAATGAAAATATATTAACTAAAAAATTATTTATCATTTAAAAAATTATATTATAATTAAAAAAGTATTTATGAGTAAAATATTACTTGTAATAAAAAAAACATTATAATTAAAATTTACTTGTAGGTAAAAATCACTTTTATGTAAAAAAAATTGTTATAAAATAAAAATACTACTAATAAGACAAAATTCACTTATAAAATATAAAAAAAGTTACTTATAATAAAAAAAATTCACTTAATAGTTATTTAAAAGTATAAAATTTACTTATAATTGTAAAATTTACTTATAAGTAAGAAATATGAACTTAAAAATTTAATTAATTTTTTAATTTAAATATTAACTCATATGTAAAAAAAAATTTCTATAATTAAATTATCACTTATGAGTAAACAAAATTCATATAAAAGAAAATTTTATTAAGGGATATATATGTAATTTTATTCTTTTAAAAAACTTTCAGAACCGGTTAATAATAAACTCTCAAGTATAAGTTGGGAGTTTCAAAAACCATTACTAAAACCACTCAAAATCAATTCGCTCATAAACACTCAAAACCGGTACTTTAAAAAACGCTCATAATCGGTACGGCGAAAGTCCCAAGCTGGTCCTTAGGTTGTACTAGTTCTCTCATGGATTGTGTACACTGATTTCTAAGAGAGGATTGATTAAATTAGATGTTCTTTTGATAGCTACAATTAAAAGAAGGTTTCAATGACAATAAGAATCAACATTAATGTAAAACAAGAAATGTGGTACCAAATCATGCTTATTACATTAGTAGGGGTGTCACAAGATACTGATATGATAACACATTTATACAAGCTAGTGAATAACCCGAGGACACGAAAACTTAAGGTAACGGGAGTTATTATTTCTAGGCAAGAAAAGTAGGCAATTAAAATGTAAGTACCTCCGGAAGTGTATATATCTGGGTGAAGTTGAATATGTTAAACTTAAGTACTTGACTAAGAATAGTCAAGCAGATTTCCCTCATTCCCTGAATTCGACAGTTCTTCATGACTCAATTAGAAAAAAAGTCTTATTTTTGTGGTTCTGGTTCTTTATAGTTTTATAATGCTCGGCATCAAAGCATAAAAGTGTCTCTTGGTCACCTGATTCCTGGATTTGTTTAAATTTTAACAGGCTATACATTCTAATATTCATCAAAATTGGAAAAAGTTGGTTACCCAGCTATGAATCCGACATGGTAGCATTCTACTTATTACTATACGAAAACAAATATAAAGATCTCCACTCGCCAGCCCTCATTGCTGCAGGATTCTTTGTTTTGGTGGCGCTGATCCTTTCCCTCCTCCTAACTTACCAGCATCTCAGATCATACACCAACCCATCTGTTAGTTTTTCTCATTGCTAGTAATGATCTACATCAAATTTGCTAACGCAGATATTTTTATAAGGTTCATCATTGTTAGCGACAGAATTTTCTATAATCAATATATAGGTTTCTTTTCATTATTTAAGGAACACGTACAAGACTGTCTCCGATTATATCAAACTCCTGAGCTTATTTTTCTACAGGAGCAAAAATGGATTGTTGCTGTTATTTTTATGGTTCCAGTCTATGCAACTGAATCTGTAAGTACTTTCAGTTATTGGCATCTTTATCATTCCGTATGAATTTTTTACTTGCTAATTAGTCACTGGATGTGTAGCAACATATGTACGCTTACCAAGATTGATCGAGGTCCTGAACATCATTTTGTACAAGTGCATCACAATTGCTCTAGGATGGAATTTTTTTTGGAAGATTTCATAGTTCTGTCATTCACTTTTGAATACTTAAAAGCTTTATTAACCATTTTATTTCCTACTTTATGTAGAGTGAACACAAAATCCTTCTACAGCAATGGAAGTAGTAGGTTTTGAAAGGGGAAAGGAAAAAAGAAATAGTAATGAGTCCGTCTAATATGACTTAGACTAGGGTAACAGGGTGCTGAAGTGAATAACTTTGAATTCTTCATCCAATCTACCCAGTCATTTTATTATCTATTTCAGTTTTACTTTTTTGCGGATTCGGGATTCGACCAGTTTCTTATCTTTTTCAGATTCTATCATTGTGGAATACGAAGTTATCCCTTGCTTGCGACATCTTAAGAAACTGCTACGAAGCTTTCGCCCTTTATTCTTTTGGTAGTTACTTGATTGCATGCCTTGGTAAGCAGGACATGAGCTTGTTTTGAATTCTAGCAGAAATTCTTAGCCTGATCCTGTTTCTTTTAATTCAATCTTCTTAAGGATGTCCAAACTTCCCGTTTAAAATGACTTTGGCTGTAAATCTCATTATGCCATTTAAGGGTGCTAAATTAACATGAAAGTATGATGAAATGTGCATTTACTTTTTTGTGAATTGGAATCTTCATTTACGTTGGCGAGTTTTAAAACAAGCTCATTTATATTTTCACTTGCATGCTCTCATCAACATTAAATGGAGAATAAATTCATTTCTTATAATTTCTTTAATCTAGCTTTTGAATATATTTAATTTACTTGGGAAAATATGTGATAGGCGGTGAACTGAAAGTCGTAGAACTGCTTGAAGATGAATCAAGGAAAGAAATTAGCAAGCCATTGCTAGAAGGAGATGAGAATACCGAGTTGCAAAGAAGAACATTTTGCAAATTTATCCTTCATCCATCTGCTCTTGGAAAGGACTTATTCACAATAATAAAATTTGGTCTAGTCCAATATGTAAATTCCTCTTACTTAATCTCTAATCCCCCACACCCCCAGCAGCACTTGGTGGTCTTGATTAAGCCTTCTTCCTTACTTGCAGATGATTTTGAAGGCTGTATGTGCATTATTAGCACTTATACTGGAGTTCTTTGGCGTGTATGGTGATGGAGAGTTTAAATGGTATTATGGGTATGTATCATCCAAAATAATTGTATTCAAGGGCTATAGATATCAGCACATAGAAAACAAATAGTCTTGGCAATAAACTGAAGGCTTCTATTAATCCCTCTATAGGAGTCCTGGACATATTGACTTATTCCATTAGTTAAACGAACAGATTTGCACTCCTGGCTGGCATGATTCTTAAAGAAGTAATTTGTGTCAAATTATAATAGACGATATATGTACACAGATTAGAATTATGAGCTTCATTTTTATTTTAAAAAAAAAATCCAATTTATGATTATAAATGCACTTTATTTCTTTCTCAAGTTACAGTTTTATTACAGAGTTTTGCATCTTGTCATATCTTCATGGCATGGGGTACATTTTTCTTTTTTTTTTCTCCATTTCCTTCTTAACACACAGGTTCTTGCAGGTACCCCTATATCACAATAGTATTGAATTTCAGCCAGATGTGGGCGCTATATTGCCTCGTTCAATTTTACAATGTGACTCATCAAAGACTTGAGGCAATAAAACCCCTTTCGAAGTTCATTAGCTTTAAGGCTATTGTATTTGCGACATGGTGGCAAGGTGTAGGTATCGTTTTATTGTGTCATTTTGGAGTCCTTCCAAGAGGAGGAAAATTTCAAACTGAATTGCAGGATTTTCTGATCTGCATAGAGGTAAGTAGCAAAGATGACCTGTTTATATGTAGGCTTCTTTTGGGAAGAATTTATAAATAGATAACATTGAGTGATTGATAAGTGAATATTACTCGTGGGTCCATTGAAATTTGTAGTTGAAAATGAAGTTTGACAATTTATAAATTTTTGGCCAAACAGAGGTTTAATAAGTTAATTTCTCTACCCTGTGCTCTGTTGAAATTTGTTGAAGTATTCTGCTTGGGTCTCGAGTATTACATATAGCTAGCTCCCTGTTGTTTTACCTTCTTTTTGGAAGGGTTTATTCATTATTGTACTTTCTTTCTTACACTTACTATAACAGATGGCAGTCGCGGCTATTGCTCACATCTTCGTCTTCTCTGCAAAACCGTACTATTTCGTACCTGTATCTGAGGACGGAGAGATTACCACCCAAAAGAGAGAAGCTGTGCTGAAGATAGAAGAGGGCAATGAGGAAAAGCCAGCTCTTATTGAAAAGAGGGAAACTGAGGTTAAGGCTCCTGGGACGAGTGTCAAAGAGAGCGTACAAGATATTGTGGTTGAAGGAGGTCAAAAGGTGAGGTTCTTCCTCCTCTCATTTGTTACGAACATGTATACAGCCTTTATACTTGTGTCTGTTGGAAAAAAGCCAGGGGCTTGTCTTTGGCAATCTAGATATTTTCATATTGGTTTGAACTGATTGAGCAGGTTGTCAAAGATGTTGTCTTGACCATAAACCAGGCAATTGAACCGGTACACGAGGGCATGACAAAGATCCAAGAAACTTTTCACCAAATATCAGTATCAGGGGACGGTGAAGATGAGCCGGAAGCGAAGGTTGAGGAAATTGAAGAGAAGATCACCGTTGAATCTGAAGTTTAAATTTCCGAAAAACATGATTACGTTAGTATTTGTAGGAATACTTCCTAGTGGGTTAATTGAGTTCCAGAAGAGAACAACTGCTTTAAATTTCGACAGTAGAGCGGTGAGTTTCACAATGACTTCAGTTGCTACCAATTACCTTGTTAAGCTTAGTTATGCATTAACATCACCATTAATATGAAACTTTTTGACGTTATCCAGAATGTAAGCACGATTTAAACTAAAATTTTTGACCTGAAAGTGCAATTTCAAAGGTCAATTGTGCAAATATGTTCAATTTTGATTTAAGAAAATTGCTGCTATAAACAACTTTCACGTGATTTAACGTTAGAGGACAGAACTATCGTATCACTAAAATTTCACTCAAAACTCAAATGAAAATTGCATGAAATTTTGACATCGCCACATGGTATCAACTAAAACGGATGGCATGAAGGACATTTCAATTTCCCTTAGTTTCCAGTTTCCACATCCAAGACTGAAGATGGAAGTTATTCAGTCAAGTGTCTGCAAACTCCACGAAGTTGGAAGACGTAGCTGCAATTTCCGGCCGAAAACAGAGTTCAGGTTATAAAGATTCACTTAAATTTCCATAAATGGATTTTCTGTTCAAGCTGCAATGAAAGTTGATAGGGAGAGTGCTAGTATATTTTGATTCTATTCCAGAAGCCGTGATGGCCAGTATCACAAAACATTTGGAGACAGTACTTCACATTGCAGTATGAAGAAGTGAAGCAATCCATTTTTTGTGGAAAAGTTGGTGCAATTGACGCCAGTTGAGGCATTGCCTCTGACTAGTAAATGCAGCAAAAGTATTAGTGACCCGACTTTTGGAGTGATATCAACTTATTACCTCTACATTTATCTCCACTTTTTGGCCACAGGGAAATGGTTTCGTTTTATTGACTGTTACACGAGACAATATAGAGCCAAACTTTTTGAAGATAAACCTGGAATTACTTTCCTGAATGCTACTGTAAACTCAGGATTCTACCGTAAGTACTGATCATACACTTGTTTAACAGTTGCAAATAACATTATAACATTTGCCAATATAATGAAACTTAGCTATTCAATTGCTGTTCTCCGATTCCGGGAATTTATGGAAAATGTTCCATTTCTGCTGTGATGTGGGTTGATGACCGTGTACTTACACCTATCTGTGTATTTCTGCAGATGGGCTCTGGATCTTGTTCGGTGTTATACTAAGTTGGCTGTTACTATTATCTCCAGGTGGCAATTAGCATTGAGTATTTTAGCAGAAAGCCTTCAGCATTTCTGAGTGGAGATTCCTTAGGGTTTTGGCAGAAGTTCATCCTCCATGCTTTCTTATAAATAACATGTTTCCTCCTAAGTAATCCATCCTTCAAACTTTCTTCTACACCCTGGAGTATGCTGCTCCTGCTGACATCAAGATTAACTGTGTAGGAAGCAAATGGCGTCATGCCTTTATGAGAATGATTTTCATCTAGCATCTAATCATCTCATTCATCACTTGCTTGATGCAATTTATGGCAATCCTTATCCTTCACATTTACCACAGATGTGAAACTATTTACTAACAATGTGGGCTGATAATGTGCTGCATAGCATCATAGTGATGTATTAGACAACCTGTGGTTCTGATGGATTAATAGGAATTCACCTATCCCAATAGAAAAGAAATTTAATTTGAATAATGATCTTTTATTAAGATTTAAGGTTAAGGCTATAGGTTCCAATTATTATGGGGAACCCATCTCTAGCTGCCTAGATGCATGGAAACGTAGCTCATATCTGTTGTACATTAAAAGTTAAAAAAAGTTTCAAGTCAAAAAACACATTGGAACAAAATCTTGGCAGCACTGTCAAAGAAAGGGGTAAGGATAAAATAAAGCAAGCCCTTGTTTGATAAAGATATTTTGAGAAGTGATTCTTTGAAAATTATTTTTTGGTTGGTTGTCAAATTAAAAAGTAAGGAAAAGTTATCGAAACATATGAAAAATTATTTTAATAGAGAATGTGTGGAGTGGTTCCCAAAAAATCAAAATAAACAAGGGCTAAATAAGAAGGTAGTAGACAACGTGATGCGGACATCATCGAGATTTATTTTATTGTTATTGGACTTTATTATTTATGTTTCGTATTGTTGGGCTTGTTTAAGCGGGTTGGCCCAATCCCTTAAAATTATGTTATTTTCTGTTATTTATTAGGTTTTCATTGTAGTTGACTTCAGTTTGATGATTAATTAATATTGAAATTGGCTTAGCCACTTTTTCTCCTCCTCTCTTTCTTCTTGGCTTCTTCTCTTCTCCTTCTTCTTGCTTTTCTCTCTTTCATTCTGCATCAAATTGGTATCAGAGCTAAACCTGAATTTTATCGTCAATTTGAATCCCAAACACTGCTAAACCACCTTCAGTTCTCTTTCTCACCTAAATTCCAGCCGCCAACATCAACAGACATCTGCAAAACACAAACCGTTAGCCCACGCCCAATAGCAGTAACAGTAACTACCGATATTTTCACCCAAACACAAACCAAAATCATCCTCCTAAAATTCACTCCATCGCCTCTACCGCCGCTTGTTACGTTACAATCAACACCCATTAAATTCTACCACCAACATCCCAAGATCAAAAGGGAGGGGAGGG